ACATTCATTAGACCTAACCATGCACCAGATGATCTTGATACGCGGAAAAGTACTGGCACTAGTTGTCAAATAGAAATCCATTTTATGATTAAAACAACTGAATATCTCCTGTAATATACTTTATTTCGTTTCCATATTTTTGTCAGAGCTATAGTTCTCATAGCCAAACATACATACGAAATTTCAACTAGTTTCATAAAGAATAACGAAAGATATAATTGACTGAATACATCAAAATGGATTTCTATTCGGACAGCCCTTTCTGAGCGCTGATTGGCTAAAATACGAACACGAGATCACCTGGCAGGAACAGAAGCGAAAAATGCAACTTTAGCAGGTTCGATTCCTGCCAGGGATCAAAAGTTGCATTTTTCGCTTCTGGTTCTGGTTAGATCTGTAAATGTATACAAATTTCCACTCGATAATTTCCACCTAAAATACCCATTTATATATTATCTCTTTATAAAACATGCTTATGCACCAATGTATTATTGAATATATATGTACTGTTCACTCTGTATCTATTTAACAGTAATGTTATTCTACGAACTCGAGTCGAATCTATCGCTCATATTCGACGAGAGTGAGTGGAATAACTGTTTTATTATATACACAAGGTCTGAATTCACAGACTTTGCTTTTCGAATATTTTCAATATTTTTCTATTTTGTTTATGTTTTTATCCTCGCTCTTTCGGCCGATTATTTTTTCAAAAATATATATTTCTAACCATTTTAAATATTAAAAATTTATTTGCTAACCTGAAAACAATTTGTGGGAGTTTTTTCATTGTGTTTTTAATCCTGTGAAGGGTATAAAAAGCGACAACTTGCCGTTTTCTCGTTTGCAAAACATCGTAGATTCAGTTTGGCCGCCATTTTGTTTTTTCTCTTCCAGCAGGATATGAGCTAATATCCTGCTAGTAGAGAACCAATCAGATTGCAGAATACCTCGTATCCAGACCTTGTGTATATAATAATACATATTATATTGCATGATGTTAATGGTTTTGTAGATGGAAATTTTGAATGTGAATTTTATGCATGTATTTAAACCTAACCAGGAGCAGAAAATTGCAATCCTGCGATTCCGGTGCAGCACTTTTACCGTTGCGGTTAGAGCTCGATAACTGGACTCAGTTGGTTAGAGCGCTGCACCGGAATTGCAGGGCCGCTGCAACGGGCCAATAGTTGCATTTGTCGCAGCTGCTCCTTGTTAGGTCATAGGCAGCCCAATGTTATGGTTGCCTGCCAGCGCGCGGGTGAGGCATTGTATAGTTGTATTATTTCCTTTATATAATAATGCAACTATACAACTTTAGGAAACAATAACTTTAGGAAATAATACAACTACACAATGCCTCGCCCGCGCGCAGGCAGGCAAGTGAGGCAACCATAACATATTGGGCTGCCTATGGTTAGGTCTAAATGCATGTATAAAATTCACTCTCAAAATTTCTATCCACAAAATCCCTTTAACAATAAGGCCTGTTTACAATTGCAATTTTTGCTGCGATTTTAGGTGCGATTTTCGTCTTTCGATGCACGTGAACGAGTAGATGAGTATGAATGTTCCGAGTATGTACCCTCTTCTCAACATTCATAATTCTTTCACTCGTTCACATCCATCAGAAGAAGACAATCGCACCTAAAATCGCAGCAAAAATTGCAAGTGTAAACAGGTCTTTAGTTCAATCATGGATAATAAAATAAATGGATAGGAAACTAGCTGACGTGACCTAATTAATGTTTTCAATGGGCTGATGGCGTGATTGGATGTTGAAACGTAGTTGCAAACCAAATTCTCAAAAACGGCATGTTTAGCAATAATACAGCTAAACATTTTAGTCAAAGAGCAAATGAATATAACTACGCCATTCTACGATGAAGTCTCTAAGTATTCCCAGTCAATTTTAGCAAATATTTCAAGCACTAAACAGTGAAAAAGGCATCCCAAATTTCGTTAAAATTGGGGACGCCAATTTCGTAGCTACAAATGTAAAAAAAATACAAAACAAAGACGAAAAACATTTACCTTGAATACTTTGTCGTGGCTTAAGCATGTTTTTAAAACAATTAGACCGGTTTT